TGTGATTGTTCAGGCCATCTTTTTGGTTACTTAACCCAGGAATGGTAGGCCAGCCTGTGTGTATGCTCTACATCATCACTGGATGGGTTTGCAAGGTCTCCAGCCAATGAAACTCGTTACGGGTAGTCTTTGTGCTTCTTCATTTACTTCCCTTCCTGTCTTTAGTCTCTTCCCCAACTTCCTTCCCTTGCTTCTTTCTTCTTCCTTCTGAATGAGGACCGTGCTATGACAAAGCCTTTCTGTTGTTTGAATGTGGCTTCCCAACGCTCATGTGTTGGAACCTGGATTCCCAGTGTGGTGGTGCTGGGAGGTAGGGCCCAAGGGAAGGTGTTAGGTTATGAGTGACTCATGCTGCTCTAGTGGGACTTATGAGTAATGGGTTGTTAAAAATGTGAGTCTGTTCCTCCCCTGCACCACAGTGCTTCATGAATGTCATTGTTTGCCCTCTTCCTTTGTCACTGTGAGCCGAAGGGCCACAAGGACCGTGCTGCATGTGGCCATCTAGTCTTAGACTTCTCAGCTTCCAGAGCTGTGAGCCAAATAAGCAACCTGGAGTGGCTCCAGGCTTGCTGCCCACCTGACATCTCTCTCTTTTTCTCCTTCTCCTTCTCCTCCTCCTCCTTCTTCCTTTCTCTTCTTCTTTAAAATAAATTGCAGTCTCAGATGCTGTTACAGCAACAGAAAAGTAGATGAAGATGAGCATGGGTGAGAAATGAGAAATATGAATTTTAAGAAGTAAAGGTAACAAGGATCCTTCCAGGATATTTTCTCACACGTATTTATGCTCTTTTTTTATTCTAGCGCTGTAGAAAGCACCTTATTCTTGCGTTGGGTGATGGGCTGGTAGGTACACTGCTGAAAACGTGACGGCAGAGGGACAGGAGGGAGGTGGGAGAGGACACAGTTAGTTTAAGTCAAGAAGGTAAGGTGAACTGGAAAACTAATAATCTCTAGTAAAGAGCCATCACAAACCCTGTGCAAAATACTTTGGTGTAAGGCAAGGTCAGGAATAAGAGCCACATGCAAAGTTGGATGGCAGAAGCACCAGGAGCAGGAATACCTGGGATAAGATGGGCCGGGCCAGAAGGAGGTTCTGGGAAGGAGAAAGCACTGGACTCTGTGATGGGACCTCTAGGATGGCAGGGCATTAGATCACGGGACTGTCCAAAAGGAACCAAGTGACTCCTGGACTGTCTCCCACTCACTGGGGATTGTAGGCGAGACGTGACTAACCTCAAAGAGCTTGGATCCTGAAAACTGTGATGGCCAGTCGGAAGAACCAGGGCACAGGAGTGGCTCCAGGTTTGCTGCCCACCTGACATCTCTTAAGAAGCAAATGACCCTGAGTGATGTGGTCACACAAAGTACTACTCAGGCCTTATTTCTAATTGACTGGTAATTAGTATTTGACAATTGAGCAAAACTTGCAAAGTCAATTATTTCTCTTTTAAATACAGATTTATACAAGTGTCTTCTTATTTGTAAATAGGTTACATATGCAATTTAATATAATTGTATTATTTTAGAATTAAATAATATTAAATAATATAATGTGTATGTATAGTCTTTTAAAATCCTAACCGGGTGGTGGCGCACACCTTTAATCCCAGTACTCGGGAGGCAGAGACAGGCGGATCTCTGTGAGTTTGAGGCCAGCCTGTCTACAGAGCTAGTTGTAGGACAGCCAAGGCTACCAAAGAAACCCTGTCTCAACACACACACACACACACACACACACACACACACACACACACACCCCACAAACTCCTTTAGAAAATCAGTGTCTAAGTGAATTCTGAGGAGGTGAAAGTGTCTCCAGCAGAGATGGTTGAGTGGTTAGAGCACTTGCTTCTCTTTCAGAAGACCTGGGTTTGATTCCCAACAACCCCACTGCTTGGTTTACAACCATCTGTAGCTGCGGTTCCAGGGGACCTGATGTCTTATTCAGGCTTGTGTGAGCACCTGCACACTTTTGGCTTGGAAGCATACACAGGCAAAGAGAAGTAAATACAAATAAGTCCTTAAAGATAGGAAGATGGTCTAGTGTTTTCTGCGGTCACTGCCCCCCCCCCTTCCCACAGCCAGTGTTAGCAATGCCCTTACACTTCAGCTGAAGCACAAATCCTCTGATCGGTTCTAAGGAGCAGCCAGGAGAACTCATGGCATGAGCAGCTCTGAGGCATGGCCTGCTGTACCTGTGTGCTTGGTAGAAATGCAGATGATCAGAGTGGATCCCACACAGACTGAACGAGCCAGGCAATGGTATGAGGGCTGCAGGTCTGTGTAATAGCTACTACATAATCCCAATTCCAGATTCACATTATTCCTTTAAGACTTTCCTGCTCACGTATTTTTCTGTTTTTAAAAAAGTGTTTGAGTAAGGTAGGTCTGATATAAAACTGTTTATACTTATCACATACAGTTTGGTGAATTAGAGATGATAGACACCTGTGAAATAACCACCGAAGTCAGTGCCATTACAACATAGCTATTACCTCCAAAGTGTTCTCCTGCTTCTTTATTTTAGTGATAAAAGCATATAATAAATGTCCTTTGTCTCCTTTCTTCCCTCCTTCCGTGTGTGTGTGTGTGTGTGTGTGTGTGTGTGTGTGTGTTCACGTGTGATGTATGTATGTAGTGGATGCACACACATCCACTCATGGAGGCCAGGGGGCATTGATGTCATCTTTTAACTGTTTAACTGCCTATTGCTCTGAGTCAAGGCATCTCCCTTAACTTGGAGTTCACGCTCTTCATCTAGGCTGGCATCCAGTAAGTCCCAGAAATCCTCCTGTCTCCTTCAACACTGCTGAGCTTACAAGGTGTGTGTGGGACCATTCCTAACTTGTTATGTGGGTGCTGTATCTGAACTCAGGTTCTCAGGCTTGAAGAGCAAGTGCTCTTCCTCACTGATATATCTCTTTAGCTCTCCCCCATCTCTCCCCCTCGCCAGGGTCTCATGTAGCTCAGGCTATCCCCCAAATTGCTGTGTAGTCAAGCTGACTTGAACTTCTGATCCTCCTGACTCTACCCTCCCAGGTGCTTGGATTACGACCATGCGCTACCATGTCCAGCTGTACATAGTTCTGATAGCAGAACAATAGAACCCAGGGTTTAGTGTCTGCTAGGCAAGTACTCTATCAGCTACGCTGTACCCCAGCCCAAGATCCACTCTTTCTGTAAATTTCTTCCCTCCTTTCTCCTTTCCTCTCTTTCTCCCCTCTGTCTCTCTGTCTCTCTTCTCTGTCTCTGTCTCTCTCTGTCTCTCTGTCTCTCTCTCTGTCTCTCTCTCTCTGTCTCTCTCTCTCCTTTCTTTTTTTTATTGACATGGTTTCTCTGTGTAGCCCTGGCTGTCCTGGAATTCACTGTGTAGACCAGGCTGGCCTCCAACTCTTAGAGATCCACCTGTCTTTGCCCCCAGAGTATTGGGATTAAAGGCTTGTGCCACCACTACCTGGCTCATTTTTTTTTTTAAATTAAGAAATTTTCTATTCATTTTACATACCAACCACAGATCCCCCTCTTCTCCCACGCCCCAGCCTTTCCCCCAGCCCATCCCCATTCCCTCCTTCAACAAGCCAAGGCCTCTCATGGGGAGTCAGCAGAGCCTGGTCCATTCAGTAGAGGCAGGACCAAGCCCCTCCCCCTGCATCAAGGCTGTGTAAGGTCTCCCATCATAGGTAGTGACTGCCTGGCTCTTTTTGTACATTTCTAAACACACAGGGAAATGTTGTTTCCTGCAGGCACAGAAGATCTCTAGGAGTTATGGCTAATATTTGGTGACTTTCAGAATCCCTGGCTGAGGTCACCCCCTTTTCCTAGACTCCTAGATTCTATGACAAGTCTTCTCCATGCCTGCTAGTGTGCTCATGGTTCCCTTTGCTGGCAGCAGAATCTTGGTTCTTACAGGACAGTTGTGCTCAGTCTGCTAAGGCCCCGCTTCTTAGGTCTGCTCATGGGCTACATTCTGCCCACTGATTTGTGATCAGAAGGGGTGCAGGACTTTTGGAAGAAGGATAATAGCAATCATGCTGTATCTGCCTCCTGCATACTATGTCTGTGCTGGGGCTCCAGCGCTGTGGTGATCACGGCGCAGTGAGCTACAGATGATGGAATTTGCTGATGAAAAGATCCGAGTCTCTGGTGACTGAGTCACTGTTCAACCAGTCATGCTTTGGACTGGAGCCTCTGCAGTGTGGTTCACAAGGGGAGAAGGAACAGGGCCCGAAGCTGTCAAAAATTTGCCTAAAAAATTATTGACGGTTGAATTGCTACTACCTGAAATAGTGACATTTATTGATTGTTTCCTGTGTGTCAGGCACCATACAAAACTCTTTTCAAATGTTTTACATTCCTAATTCTCTATTATTAGCTCTGTTTCACAGATTACAAAAATAAGATAAGAGGCTGAGTGACTTACTCAGACCCATTTTGCCGGTGCACTCTTGGAGGAAGTATTCGAATTTGGGCAGTTCCCGGAAATGTCTCCATTTCTTACATATGACAACATCACTCATAAGTCTTCCCTTGATATCAGGGCATAAGAGGCTTATTTTCTTCCTCAATGAGCCAATCCTCTGACCTCCATTTCTCTGTTGTTATTATTAACGGGAATACTGACATGCCCCTGCCCAGCCCTCCTCCTCAGAAGTTGGGGATCAAATAAGGAAATTGTCTAAGGTGATGTGCCTGGACTTCTGAGTATTAAAGGCTCACAGAGAACAAATCAGCCTGCTGAAACAGAGGCCACAGTTGCAGTCCTCAAAGCAAGGATTGTAATAAAAATAAATGGAGTTTATCTACCATGAACACCATTACACACACACACACACACACACACACACACACACACACACACACCCCTCACATGAGAATGAGAGAAAGTGGCATAATTACAGAATGGAGGGCAGCTCTTTAGCTAACTACAATCTAATTATGAAATTGGCTGGAAAAATATAGTGCTTTATCTTTTTACCCCCTCCCCCAATTTTTCTCAGGAGTGGTTGAAATGTTAGGACTTGAGAAAACTTGAAGATCTCCAAACAAAGGAAGTCGGTGGTACGGTTGTCCGGAACTGCAGTCCAGGCTGGATGGTAATGGACTGGACCGCCGGATGACATAAGTGGCCATTTCCCCTCTTCCGCCCGAGCGATAGGACGCTGCTTGCATTTCGGGTAATATCTTACCCAACCAAATTCTAGTCAATGACGCATAAATGAGAGGCCAAGTAGAGCTTCCAGGGTGGCGTTTAAGTGGGCTCAGTTGCAAAAGTTGCCTTCTCAGGGCTGGAGAGATGGCTCAGTGCTTAAGAGCACTGGATGTTCTTCCAGACGACCCGGGTTCAATTCCCAGCAGCCACATGGTGGCTCACAACCATCTATAAGTAAAGTGATTACTTAAATTGTTTTATTATTAAATAAAACTTGGGAGTCAGATATTGGGGTAAAAACCTGATTGGTTGGAGAAGTGACCAGTGGCCTCCTCTCTCTCCCCTTCCTCGACCCCGAAAGGCCCACAAATCTTTCTAAGCCCCTCCCTACTACTTCCTCTCTCTCTCTATGTCCTGGGTCCTCCGAAACCTCTAAGGCTAATTCTGGTCAGTCACTAGCTAGCTCTGTCCTCTGATTCAAGGTAAACTTCATTGTCAGTCTCGAGAGTGTCAGAGTGTGATCAAAATATCCTACAGCATCTAACGGCATCTGATGCCCTCTTCTAGCATGCAGGTGTCCATGCAGCTAGAGTGTTCATATACATAAAATAAATAAATACATCTTTTTTAAATTGCCTTCTTGTCTTCCTGTACTTCCTCTTCCCACTGATCTAGGAGAAGACATGGTGTCCGGAACACGACACGGATTTTGGATTGAGGATGGCAATGCAGAAAGATGGCAGCTGAGCCCTTGACGGCCACTTGAATCCGTGGACAGTTTTCTGTGGACTTCCACGTGAGAATGGAACTTAATCTTGTTGACAGACTATTTTATTTCCCCTCCCCCCTTGCCTTGTACATATCATTGTGACATAATGAAGTGAAGCCACGTCCATTTTGGACGGCAGGAGTCAGAGACATGTTAGAGTGAGCTCAAGACATCAACTGTGTTATATATTCACAAAGACAACGAAAACCAGAGCTGTGAAGGGGCTTTCCGAAGCCTCCCTACTCAGTACTCATTCTATAAATAATTCCTGAACATGTCCCGTGGGAAGCTCTTTGCCAGGCATTAAGGCACAGGGATGAAGGTAGGGCATGATTCCGTCTATCTAGAAGTTCACAAAATGCACCAAGTGGGCAGATCATCACTTTCCTTGAGTGTTGCATCTAGGGAGTTAATTCTTGTTGTGTTAAAACCACAGCATCTTTTTATGCTGATGATGAGGAAGAGGAAGAGGAGGAAGAGGATCAAGAAAAGGAAGAGGAAGAGGAGGAGCAGACAAGCACCTTTGTGCCGTGGGAGGTCAGAGAACAACTTTCAGGAGATGAGTCAGTCACTCCTTCCACCTTAGGTTTGGAGAATCAAGCTCAGGTCCTCAGTCCTCATACTTCTGGGACAAATGCTTTTATCCACTATCCATCCCACACCCAAGCTACAGCTTCTGAAACTGTGCGCTCAGCTCCATGTGTGAAGGTATAAAAAAATCTGGTGACAGAAATGTTTCTGTATACCCAACACACCAAAAACAAACAAACAAACAAAAAACAAAACAAAACAAAACAAAACAACAAACAAACAAACAAACCCCAAAATCAAATGTTTAACGAATGCCAGGTCTTTCTGGCAGGGTTCACCCACGTGTTGACTGCAGCCTGGGTTCTGAACACACAACAGACAGAGGATGCACTTACATGCTGACTAGTCACACGGTGCCCATGAATGCTGAATGACACCATTAACTCAGATGTGAGACCGTATACATTATGGATACAGTATTCTCTACACGAAGTTTTCTTCGCTTATAAAAACAACAGCTTGGTTATAGAAAACAAAGACTTTCAATGTCACTCCTTAGCATGCAAGCATCAAGTTAGTGACTCTTTGGATTGGATTGGATTTGAATGTTGAATTTTAGTTGGGCATGGTGGTGAATACCTATGATCCCAGCACTTGAGAGTCAGAGAAGGAATATTAGGAGTTCAGGGTCAACCTGGGGTACATCGTGCATGTGTTCAAGGCCACATAATAGCCTGGCTCAAGAAAGAAAAAAGAAAGTTTGATCTTAAAAATTGAGCTGAGTGTCATAAAAATTTTTCAGTGAATTTTGGCTCCAGATTATGACAGAATGTCTGCCGGGTGAGATGCCACACTTGACTCCCAGCGCTAAGGAGGTAGAGCAGGAGGACCAGAGTGCAAGGCCAGTCTTGGCTGCAGGGCAAGTTTGAAGCCCGCCTGGGATACACGAGACCTTGTCTCAAACAACGAACACAACAAACAGAAAGGGCTGAACTGTAACAGTTTCTAAAATGATGCTAAGCACACTTCTGCTGTGTTGAACGACATGTTCATGCGAGGCTCTAACATAGACATACCAAAAGTGTTGCAGATGCTCTGTTTGCTGCAGTATCAATTATGCAGCCAAGTTTTGCTTCTTTTCACCTAAAGACAAACAAGAACCGGTGAGGTGGTCAGTGGGTAAAAGCACTGGTCACACATGCCTGATGACTTCACTGTGATCTCAAAGTCCAGTAGAGTGAGAGAACTAGTTCCCCTAAGTCATCCTCTGACTTGACCCCTGCATGCAAACTCTGACACTTGTGTACCTACCCACCCCCATGCCCACACTCACATCTATACATCATACACACACAATAATAAAAATGATGATGATAAAAGGAATAAATAAGCAAGTCCACTCATTCTGTTAGTATGCAAATTTGCTTTAATCCCTAATAAAAATACATACCCCAGACAATTGCTTCAAAACACATTTCTTGATGGTTTTTTATTATCAACTAAGTGTTTGATTTGTGAAAAAGTGGTGAGGGGAAGGCATGCTAGAAGCCCTGCCTTAAAGACGAAAGGGAATGTATACAGCAAACACACAGGTTTCCTTTCTCTTTGTGTGACGTGCCTTCCTGGGTGTGAGAACGCAGTCAGGCATGCTTGCATAGTTTCAGCCGCACACTACATAGGCAATCTTGCTGCAGGATCACATTTCTTCTGCTGCTTTAAGAACATCTTGTATGTTCGGGTGCCTGTTTATACGGTGCATGTGGACGGAGGGTGGGGACAATAAAACAATAGTCTCTGGGGGCCTCTGGGGAGAATCTCTGAGTTCCCTGGGATAGGAAGTTCCCTAAGAAATCAGGAGCCACTAAAATTCCCACCAAACAACAAAGTATGTGCAGCCAAGATAAAAGGAGAGTGGGGGTTGAGAAGGAAAAACAAAACACCTCACCCTGGTTCAGGGAAGCAGGTGCACCCAATACAAACAATATCATTTCTTCTATTATTTGTGGAGTCTAGGAACAAAACAATACTCAACCCCTCCCCTCTGGGGTGGAGGGGCCTTCAAGGATGCTCAAAGCAACAAGATAAAAAAGGTTCTTAGTCAGCCTGCGCAACTGCAAAGAAACTAAACTTAAAACTAGCAAATAGCAGCAGCAGCAACAACAACAACAAAACCAGACTGGAAGCAAGGAAGAAGGCCGGGCCAATGTTTAAAGGACATGATCATTGGATGGGATTGTGGACATCTTCTCTTTGCGCCATCAAAGCCAAGCCTTCAGCTTAGAAGCCAGGAGCTGATGGGCTAATCCCTCCTTATTGTGGTCACAGCAAAATGCATGAGTCATGTGGCTGTAAGGGACATAGGCTATGCTGTGGGACTGCAGAGACTCCTCTTTGCATGGCCCCTTCTGAAGTCTTCAGGGGCCTTAGACACATGTCTGTCTAATCACATATTTTGTGACATCTGCAAAGATAAATTATTCCCAGCCTGTCGAGTGGTTCTCAAATAGGGACCAGACTTCAGGGTTTGTAAGACCTGGACATAATCTGAAGTTTCCACAAAATGTCCTTTCCAACTCTACCACGAGTCCCTTCTGTTCTTTGGATGCATGGATTGAGGACCTTTGCACAATGTATAGCTAAGGATGCAGCTGAGGCAAAAGGCTGGAGGAGGGTGAGGAGATGAAACTGTAACTCAGGGAACCACTGCTTCAGGGCTCCTCTGAAGTAAGCACAAGAATGTTGGAGGATTGGTTCTTCTGTCTAATGCTCCATGCAGGTTATCTGGCCTGTTTCTTTGGTATTTTATCACATAACATCTTGGTAATATTTGGTCAAATAATACCAAGCTTGAAGAATTGCTCTTGGCTTCTGGGGTAGGATCAAGGGAGGATAAGAGACCTCAGTGAGAGGAGTGAGAGTCCCCAGCTGACTTGAGACATGTCTGTGCTTGTCTTGGGAACACTAGTTGGTTTACAGGAAGGACTCAGGCACTTTCCAGAAAGCACCCACAGGAAGAGAACAGAGTAACAAGGTCAACCATACTCAAAAGCCAGGGGTTGTTTTGAATGCAGTGTGGCGTCTGTCGTTGAGATTTTCTTCCAGCCCAGTCTCCAAGGATCCGTGCCAGGGCCTGGAACAAAGAGGCAGAACATTAAAGTCATTTCAGTGGGACTGTGTGGTACTGACAGCCTCAGACTGAATGAAACCTAGTGTGACTTGTGGGGTCACTTTCAACAGCGGGGTGAAAAATGGTGCAGCTGTGGTCCATGCGAAGGATGCATGGTTATTAGGAGGGGATATGGAAGATGCAAATACTCCTACGGTCTCCACAGCTTTGGACGAGCAGCTTTGGAAGCAGGTGTAATTGGAGAGAAGAAAAATAATTTCTTGGGAACCCGAAGATCATGTGAGCCATCCGCAGGCCACTCACAGAAACTGATCAGGAGAACTTGGATTTGAGAGGAACATGAACCAGAGCCCAGAGCATCTATGTGATGGTGCTGGTTTATGATGTCACAGACAATCATGTGACAGGCCACCCAGAATATAATTACCACGACCAGCCTCAGGGTTAGCTCTTTATGTTATTTATTCCTTTAAAACTTCTCTGGAGCTAGGGAGATTTTTTGCTATACGAGTAAGAGGCCCTGAGTTTGAATCCTCAGCATCCATGTAAAAGCTGGAGCAGGGGTGAGCACCTGTAACCCCATCACTGTAGGAGTGGAAACAGGAAGATCCTGTGTTCTTCCTGGCCAGCCATTCTGGCTGGAATGACAAGCTCCAGGTCCAATAAGAGCCCCTATATCAAAAAATAAAGCCAGGAGCAGTAGAGGAAAACACTGAAGAGGAAGATAAACTCTCTCTCTCTCTCTCTCTCTCTCTCTCTCTCTCTCTCTCTCTCTCACACACACACACACACACACACATACACACACACACATACGTGAGAACTGTTAGAATTCCTAGCCATTCCCCCATGATTGTGCATGCACTAGCAAGATGCTTGGTCATCCAAAGGCCTTATGTTCTACGTAATTTATGTGTTGCGAGATCACGTAATTTGCATGCAGCATGATCACATAATCTACGTGCATGCATGGCGTAGCTACGTAAGCCCATATGTGCATGTGAGGGGGAATCTTTAAAAGTGGGTCCTACACACTCCTCCTCCCTTCTTCCTACAAGATCTTTCCATAGGCCTAAGCACTTCCTTCTGTTCCCCTTCCCCTAATAAACTCTTACAGAGGGTTTTGTTGTACCTCGTGGCTTTTCTCGCATGGTAAACTGCGCTGCTTAATAAATAACAAGAACACCTACACTGACATGTGACACCATGCACCCCACCCCACCCCCTACTACCCGCTCATTCTCCACCATACCCCTACCACCCCATCCCACCCCCAACTACAAACCTTCCCTGCATGTATCGGCTCTGTTAGTACATTTGTTTACAGATAAGGAGACCAAGCCTCCAGAAAAGAATTACTAGCTCAAGAATACACCCAACTAGCAAGAATGTGCTTCCCTAACCTGTTTGAACCTCCATACCTGTCTTTTAACCCTGTGCACACAGTTGGTGGTACAAATGAAGCCAAAGAAAGACTGGTTTTTTGTTGTTATTGTTTGTTTTTTGGTTTATTGAGACAGGGTTTCTCTGTGTAGCCCTAGCTGTCCTGGAAGTCGCTCTGTAGACCAGACTGGCCTTGAACTCACAGAGATCCACCTGCCTCTGCCTCCCGAGTGCTGAGATTAAAGGCATGTGCCACCGCCACCCGGCTGAGTATTTTTATTGCTCTAATTGCTAATTCACTTTAACCTTCAGTTGAAACTGAGAATTGTCGTCTTCATTGGATATGTTTAAGTACTTGGACAAAAGGATGGTGTTCATTTATTTCTGGCACAGCAGACCAGATTGTGAAGGTTGAATTACGCCTTTCTGACCGAAGGGAGGAAATTGGAAAAATGTTCTGCCAAAATTTGCTTACTGATATATTTGCCCTTGTGTATACAAGAGTCAAGGTTATTGTTCGTCTGGAGAACTTGACCACACATAACCATAAGTTGTTACCCTCTATAGGTAGGCTAAGCTGGTGACTAAGACACACGTGCCACTGTTCCTGCAGAGAGAAGATCTTTAAACTTCATGGAAATAGAGAAGTTTTTTCTATGAGCCATTTCTCTTGGGATGACAGGATCCATTGAAAATGATGCTTGAACCAGAATGTCCACGATTAAAAAACTTCTGACTGGTTAAGGCTTGCTTGCTCAGAACATAGCACCTCACCTCTCCTCTTGTTTATAACTCATCTCATGGAAATGTTGAGTTTGCAAGGGTACAAGTTGTGATTCTGACTATATATATATAAAACTAGGTGGGGTTTGGGGGAACCCTAAGTTTAGGAGAACCTATTCTGTTCTGGATAAAAATAGTTCCACTCACTCTTGCTTTGCAAGGAAAACATCAATTAGACGGAACAATGTTCCTTGCAAAAAGTAGATGCCGCATTGTCTCTGGACACCTCCTTTGAGTTCGCTCTGCGCTGTGTCGTGTCTTCTGTTAGGAGGAAATTATCAACAACAAGAGGAAATCCTGGACTAGTATTGAATAGTCCTTATTTTAAAGGTACTTCCCTTCTTGTGGGAATTGTATGCAATCAGAACAACACTATAAAATGTTGGAATTATTTTACAAGGTTTGACTTTCGGCCCTATTTTTTTTTTAAAGATCAGCTTATTGTGCTTAAGATATAGTCAATTGTTGAGCTGGACAGCATTCTTCTCAGGCTCTGTGAACTTTAAGGTGAGGTGGAGGTTGTCTCATTGGCCGCAGGAAGCAGGAGGTCCTTAGAGACAACCGTTTATTCTAGAGCACACAATGACTAATAAAGGCCACTTGGGTCACAAACATTTGCCCCTTTTTGAGCAGAGATGACTGTCTTCAAGGTGGGGAAACTAGGCAAGCTGGCCCTGAAATTCTCTCCCCATTGGTGTGGATTCCCCCAAAGATGGGAGCGGTTGAAACAAGCAGGTCCTGAAGGCCTGGAGTGGGAAAAAGATGTCAAAGTTACTTTTTTCTTTCCGGGGGTAGCTAATTATCACCTGGTGGCCAGGAGCTGCATGGCAGCAGCAGTGGCAACCCAAGAGGATGGGGTTTTGTGCCCTTTGGTCTCTGAAGCCAATAGGTCTGCCTAATGCTGTGTCCTTGGTGCTGATCCATACGAGCATATGCCCCACGCATCCTTGCTAAAAGGCTCCCGCCTAAGGGAGGGTAAATCGGTGTACCTGGAGTTAGAGACAGTCTAAGCCCAAGGAAGCCAGGGGCAAGCACTAAGTTCTTTGAATTCTTACGTATTATCTGAAAATGGGCTAGGCTCCGGCATTGTACTCCAGCACCTACCACTTGGCTTCAGCACCAGTTCAGTAAGACCTCTGGGGTGATGTCACACTATCTGACATGGTAGCTGCTAGTCAATGTCGCCATCAAGCATTTGTCATGTGCTTTGAGTGAATAAAGAACCAAATTATAACGTTATCTTTAATCTTTTTTAAGGTTTCTTCTTTTTTTCCCAGATTTTTATTTATTTATTTATCTTTCTATTATCAGCTTGATACAGTATAAATTCTTATCCTAATAGTGAAATGTTTCATTGAGGCTTGCCCAGTAATTGGGTAAAACCAAAACTTATTATAATCCACAGTCATCCTAGGGTCTCCCCTGCTATATAGCCTCCCTGGATCTGTGGGTTGCAGTCTGATTGTTCTTTGATTTATATCTAGTATCCACTTATGAGTGAGTGCATACCATGTTTGTCCTTCTGGGTTTGGGTTACCTCATTCAGGATGATATTTTCTAGTTCCATCCATTTGCCTGCAAATTTCATGCTGTCATTGTTTTTCTCTGCTGAGTAGTACTCCATTGTGTATATGTACCACATTTTCTTAATCCATTCTTCAGTTGACAGGCATCTAGGTTGAAAGACATTTAAAGAAATGCTCAACATCCTTAATCATCAGAGAAATGCAAATCAAAACAGCTCTGAGATACCACCTTACACCTGTCGGAATGGCTATGATCAAAAACAGTAATGGCAGTCTATGTTGGAGAGGATGTGGAGCAAAGGGAACACTCCTCCACTGTTGGTGGTGTACAACCACTGTGGAAATCAGTATGGCGGTTTCTCAGAAAATTGGGAATCCATCTACCTCAAGACCCAGCCATACCACTCTTGGGCATATACCCAAGGAATGCTCAATCATGCCACAAGGATACATGCTCAGCTATGTTCATAGCAGCACTATTCATAATAGCCAGAACCTGGAAACGTTATCTTTAATCTTAACAACCTAAATTTAAACGGCTCCGTCGTGGTCTATCCACAGGCAGGGCTAAACACCTGCCAGACAGCTGCCGCGCTGGCTGCCCGTCGACTCGCCTGGGACTCTGGACTCTCAGTAGAGTTGCGCACCTACCTGACAGTGGCTCCTCTGTGTGCTGGTCAGCATTTTTTTTTTCATCCTGTTCAAGCGGCAAAAAGGCCAGCATGAGTGTCTCTGCTCAGAGTGCTCGTCCCGAACCTGGAACCTCCGCATCTGTTCTCCCTTTCTCAGGATGAGAATGCATCGCTTTCACACCAGGGAACACTGAAGAGTGGCTCCTGGTACCGTTCTCCTCTGTACAGAGCATCCTACATCCCCTAGCAGGGCTCTCTCGGTACTGAGCGTGTGCCTGCATCCTTCTGGCTTCCTCTTCCTCCTTCTCCTTTCTGTTTTTTGTTTGGGGGGGGAAGGAGGGAGTATGGGATTTGTTGTTGTTTTTGTTTTTCAAGACAGGGTTTCTCTATGTAGCCCCGGCTGTCCTGGAGCTCACTCCATAGGCCAGGCTGGCCTCGAACTCACAGAGCTCCACCTGCACTGGGATTAAAGGCGTGCGCCACCACCGCCCGGGCTAGCTTCCTCCTTCTCTACAGCAGCTGTGCTGAAGTCCCTTCGAATCATGTCACAAGCGTAGTGTGACAGTCCCGTTGTCACACACTTTTAGACAGGGCCACTCTCAGATCCTGCAGTGCCCCTTTAACCAGTTCCGCTTTCGCAGGTTCAGGTGCCCGTGGTCACCTAAGGCTTCAAAGACCAAATGGAAGTTTCTAGAAAGAACTAATTCAGGAGTCCTGCTTTTCTTCCTGCTGTAGTGAGCAGCTAGACAAAGCCTCTCACTGTCTGCTCAGTGCAGCCCGAGGGAGGAAACATGTGGATGCCCACGGTATCCATCCACACTGTCTGTGCTACTTGCACAGTGGGCTCCTGGGAGCTTTCTGCATGAGCAGGTCGGCTGTCTTGGTATTCGAGGTGCTTGTGCTCAGGTCACCACTGTGTACCTAGTGATGGCACCAAAGCACGGGCATGAAGATGCCAGTCAACAGGAGATGTCAAAAGAAGCTGTGGCTAGCAGTTCCCAAGTGAACAGGTGACCGTTCTCAGTAAGGAAGGAAAGCAAGTCTCATGCTGAGCCCGCTAAGGTTTACAGTGTAATGAGGGCTTGAGACGTTAGCCATGTAATCCTTATGTTGGTAAGTAGTTGTAATAGTTCTATTTTATTAGTAGTTAATAACAACCCATTCTGCACGACTCACCCATGGTTTCAGTGTCCAGTGCTGGTCTCGGTACATGGCCCCTGCAGATAAGGGGGTGCCGCCCCTGCAGGTAAGGGGGTGCCACTTTAGTCTTGAGTTACCTGCAGGATCTCTCCCTTTTCAGCAGATCCATAGTAAATTTTCTGTTCCTGTGACTCCCAGGCCCTGTACCCTCAGGGTAAGCTGGGAGTAAAAAGCCCAGAGGGATTTGAGCAGCCCACTCTCTGGTCACGTTTAGGTGACCCCACAGCACACTCCAGCTTACGCAAAGGCACTGAAGATAGGCCATTCTGATCAACAGTTTGGACTGGCCAACTAGCCAGCAGTACACACCAAATGTAGCGTGGTCAGCTTCCAGGGGATTCTGCACACTCAAACAATTTTTACAATGAAGTATTCTAAATTTAATGTGTTCTTTCTTTGGCAGTTCAGAAGGCATTTTAGAATCTTGTAATGCTCTTGAGGAATCATTATGAAGAGTAATCACTGCTCCATTGCACATTAAGGAATAATTAGGATTATCTTGGTTTTCTAATAAGTTCCATTCAAGATGAACATTTGCTGCAAATAAACCAATTTCTAGTTTTGTTCCAGAAATGATTACATTTTATTTTGGGGAGCTTTAATGTTAAATTTATGATATCATTAAGATTAATATGACTCATATAGACTGTCTTAAATTTACCTATATTCTTAAAATACTCCTTTAAATAAAGGTATTTTTGATGCAACAGGTATATTCCAGAAAGTTGAGTACAAAACAGAATTTTGAAGAATGAATTTTGTATGAGGAAGTATATGCACATGATGATAATGTGTTCATCATGATATATGTAGAAATGGTGTACATATCACATCATGAGTAACAATTGTGTGCTCGTTTTCCAGTCCTGCGCACGTCCACACCGTCAGTTTCTTTCCTAGCGTGTGCCAGTGTGACAGCATCCCTAACAGAAGCAATGCAAGGGAGGGAGGGTTGT